AAAAAAAAAAAGAGAACTTTACTTACCAAATAGGAATTTATTCAGTGGGGATAATTTTTTTAGTGGGGTAGGTACATTCATAGAATACACTTTAGTACTTTTTAACTAAAAATTGAATAATGATGATTGGTGGGAAGATTGATACCGATTTTATTGAGGAGGTAATCAAAATAGTTTCAAAGAAATAAAAGAAATGAAAAGAAAAAGAAAAGAAAAAGAAAAGAAAGAACGGTGGCTGATTTTCTGGGATAATCTACCGTAGTAATTTTACCACTTTACCAATTTAAAGGAAAAAAAAATAAAGAACAATGAACATAACCGACAATGGGATTATAATATGACGAAATTTTCCACGTAAAGTTTAGTGAAAAAATGAGTAAAAGATTGACCCCAAAATAAGGTTCAAAATTTCCAATAACCATTTTATTGGATATACATTATTAATTATTACATATTTATTATTATTATTATTATTATTATTATTTTTTATACTTGAATAAAAAAAGTAAATTTCTATTAAATCACCTCCACTAAATGAAAAAGAAAAAAGTTTATTATATAATCAAAACGCGCGTCAAAATCATCCGCATCACCCGCATTACATGACATAATTGATAAGGCAAAATTGCATTCTTTATTTTTTTATCATATGAAACTTTTTCACTTATAGAACAATAAGGACTTTTCTTGAAAATTTCTTTGATATTAAAAAGTAAAAAATTATACAAATTAGGAAATATCATTCATTATCTAGGTGGAAAAAATATCGCCTAGAATAATTGATTTTTTTACGTAATAATTGAAATAGCCCAAAATACTAGCCAAAATACCATTTTGCAATTAAGTTTAAACAAAGAATTTTTTTCGCGTTATTTAAAATAAAAATGATTGGTTGAATATAATACAAAAGGTTATAACTGATATTATCATGATAATAACAAATCAAATTATGAGGATCTTTTGTTTACTCAAAGAAAAAATATATTAAATGTTGTGAAATGTTGTGATATTTAATACTATTAATCCTCTTTCCGATTCGATGAAATTTTTTTCAATTGTTTGCTGTAAAAGAAAAATACAATTTTTCTTTGAATATGGAAAATGAAGAAGTGGGGCTGAAACTTATTTACAAACGTACACATGAAAAAAAAAAAAAAAGTCTCCTGT